ACGTGTTTTCTGCTCTTAGCCCCCCTTCTGCTATTCTCTCTCGTGCTCCATCTTCCTCCCTCCCCCTTTGTCCCTTCCGTCCATCCGTCCTCTCTTTCCCTGCCTTAGGGGCTGCACGAAATACACGTTGCAGGTAAGAAAGAGAGAGATATATATATATATATATACATACACCCCTAAGGGGGCTCGATCGAAGACGAAGAGGGCGGGCATCGAGGGTTTAGGATATACGTGTTGAATGGCACGCGAGCAGAAAAGAGCGAACAGTCTTAAAATTATTATTGTTGTTGTGTTGATGTGGGCCTTTCACCTCTGAAGAATCATGGTTGTTGATCCCTCCCGCAAGTGCCCATTGGTGTTTGCGATTTAAATGCCTTTCTCGGCTCTCGCAACAGTGCCCCGGGGCCCCCAGTTACAACAAAAACAACGGCTCCTACCTGAGGCTTCCCCACAAGTTGCGCATTCAGGAATCGTGCTCTCTTTCCAGAGACTCCCGGGCAATCTGCTCAAGCACCGCGCGCCCCGGACTCCTTTGCAACTTGCTCAGATATCGTGCTCTCGGCCTTTGCCTGGGATTTTCCTTTGATGTGCCGAGGGGGCTTCGCCCCCTGCTCCCGCCCCCCTCTGCTTGTAAGTCGGGCCTGTCCCTCTGCAGGAGGAATATTTTAGAATAGTCAAAGAATCGTCTGGGGACGATGTGTTGAGAATGTTTGTGAATATTTTTTGTTTTTTTTGAACACTGTTTGAATATGTTTGGCATTTTTAAGCTCTATTTGATTTTTTTGTTATCTTTAATTGTTCGCCCAAAATCCCCTTGTAGGAGGAGGACATGCCCGACCTAACTCTACTTGTCAGCATGGCTGGGCCGATGTATTTGTGGGGGGGGGATTGGCTGTCCTGGCTGGCGGGCTGGCAGCTCGGCTGGTTTTGGCTGCTGGACGGGTGGACCGTTAGCAGGTTGGCTAGTTTTGTGTCGGGCGTGTCTCTCTATAGGAGGAAAATCCAAAAATAGTAAAAATAGTTTTGGGGTGTTTTTTCGGGTATTTGTGGTGACTAGTTTTGAGCATTCTAGGAGCATTTTTTAAGTTTCGTCCAAACTCCGTCTGTAGGAGGACACGCCCGACCTACGGCTAGTTGGTTGGCTGATGTTCGTTCGCTGGCTTGCTGGCTGGTTAGAAGGTTGGTTGGATGGGCGGCGAGCTCGATTAATGGACGTGTTGTCTTGCTACGACGGATCGTGGCGTCGGGAGCGCGGTCCATATTAGATGCTTTTACCAGGGATCGTGGCCTCGGGGGTGGGGATCCAGAGTTTTTGAGAAGGGGCTGGCCTCGGGAACGCGGATCGAGTTTCTTTTCTGTTTCTTTGTTTGTTGTTTTGTATTTGTTTTTGCCAGGGGCCGTGTCTGCGGGATCGCGGAGCCGTTGTCTTTTTACACGGGATCGTGACGTCGGGAGCGTCGATCCACAGTTCGGGAGGGCGGACCCTTTGCTTTCAACCATGTGTCGTGTCCTCGAGAGCGCGGGCCCGCAGTTTTTTTGCGAGATATCTTGGCCTCGTGGCTGGGGGAGCGCGGGCCCATATGGTTTTTTGCGGAGGGACCGTGGCGTCAGGAGCGCGGGCCCAGTCTTTTTGCCACAAGGGGCCGTTGTTTCGGGAGCGTTGGCTCAGAGCTTCTCTGCGCGAGATTGTGGCCTCGGGAGCGCGGACGTATAATTCTTTCCGAGGGGTCGTGGCCTCGAGAGCACGGACCTGTTTTCTTCAGCGACGGATCGTGGCCTCGGGAGCGCAGGTCCACAGTTTGTTCTTCGAGATCATGGCCTCAGGATCGCGAGCCCATCGTTTTTCACAATGGACTGTGGCCTCGGAACCATCCTTTTTTCCCACCAAGGAAACAAGGATGGGGGGGAGTGGTGCACGCAGCACTCCGTGACATGGAGGGGGGGCGGTGCACGCAGGCCTCCGCGAGCGGTGCAGGGCAACGGCCTTGCATCCGAGTAGACGCGTTGGTCGGAAAAGGACGGGATGCGGCCAATCGCTGCTTTTCAGCGAGAACGACGACGTGCGACGAGGCGCGGTCAGAGACCACCTCTTAGGATGCTTGCGATGGAGGGCAATGATGCAGAGTAAAATCTGTGGGTGTACTGACTGCGCCCACTGCCGTCGTGGACGGCCTCGGTGCCTCGGGATGGTCCACCTTTCGGGCGTGCCGTCGGGACTGCGCACCGTTTGCTGTACCGTTGAACCAGCGTTGTGCGAGGCAGTCTCTTTGTATCGCTGACTTTGCCGATCGCACAAGAGATTCTGCAACGGATGCGCGTGTGGTTTCTTCCAGAACTTCGGCGTTCGAGACCTCGGACACGTCAGACACTGGCAAAGCACAGGAGCCCTGCACCTCAGCAGTGAGCACTCTGCTCCGCCTCGACGTGCCAAAAGGCGCGGTGGCGGATCCCGCCGAGGTCTTCGGGCGTTGGAACTGGTTTGCAGAAGCGTGGGGCGTTGGGCCGTTGTCACCCCAGCGTACTGAGACTATGTGTGCGTCGCCCCCAGTGTAAGCTCCGTGGCGGGCGCTTTCTGGCCATGCCGCTCGGGGAGCGGCACACTACGAGATGGTTGCGCTAGATCTGTTCGGGTCGGATGCACGCCTCCAAGTAGGACACATAGTACTAGTGTGCCCTTGTGCGTCCCATTCGGCCGAGAACACCCCTCCCGTGCACAGCAAGGTCAGCTCAGAGCTCCGCAAGGCCTCGGCACCAGGCGCACGGGGAGAGAGCGCTCACCAAGAGGGAGGGCCGAGGAAGGAGGACGAGGCCACACTTCAAGTAGGGGATCGGCTGCAGAATTGGTCAACACCAGAATTTGTTTGCTCTCGAATCCACGCAGAATGCATCGAATGTTCGTATCTCTACGAGCATGATGCGTATTTCTCCGCCCATCCGACGAGCAAAACCAGTTCTGTCAATTCTGCAGTCGATCCAAAGGCGAGCCCGACTCCTTATTCACCGCCAGAATCCTGCCATCCTCACCGCTCGGATGTTGCTAGAAGTGCCCTTGGCCCTCCCACGGCCTCTAGAGAGCCCCTCACGAGGCCCCAGAAGGCCCCATGGGGCTCAGAACGGCGCGAAAAGCTGGGGGCACCTTGGACCAGGGGCACCTTGAGCAGCACCCGGACCGCCTCGCGGGTCGTGCCACCCACGATCTCGACTACCCCTCGCGGAGTGATGGACAGATACCTGCCTCGCCCCCGAGGGCGGTGCCACGTGCTCACGGCTGCCGTTCTCCAGGGTGCACGGGCCTGGCCCTGGGGCAGCCGTGGATGCTAAAGATGCCCCTGGCCCAAGGTGCCCCCAGCTTGTCGTTCAATTTTGGAGCCCCCCCAGGGCCCTCTGGGCCTCGTACGGGGTGCTCTGGAGTCCATGGGGGCCTACTGGGGAATCTTGGGGGCACCTCTGGCCAGGGGCACTTCTGGCAGCACCCGACCGGGGCAGCTGTGAATGTGGATGTGGATGCTTCTTGGCCGTGCATCCGTGGCCCTGGGTCGAGCTGCTGGTCTCGCGAGGGTCATGCGCAGAAGCTGTGCTGTGCACGCGGGGCGGCGACGCGGGCGCCTCGACCAGTCGCCGCAGCGCCGTTCGGGCTTCTTCGCTCCCCTCCCCCGCCCAAGGCGGCGCCGCTGCCGCCGGGGCCACAGCCGCCCAGCCCGAAGGTCCACCCACGAAGACGAGGGGTCCTGCAAACAGGAGCGCTGTCTGGAGGTTTCTGGCATGCCCTCGGCCTCCCTGGGGCCCCTCCTGGACCCCGTGGCCGCGCAGGGACGGCCCAGGATGAAGAGCCTTGGCATCGCTCGGACGTGTGCATTTTGTTGTCCTCGGCGAGGACCATGGAGGAGCATCCTGGACGACTCGGCGAAAAAGGCACGCACGAGATCGAGACATACACGAGGAATGGGCGTCCGAGCGATGGCAAGGAAGAGCCGATCCACCGGGGGAGGCCCGGGGCCCGGGGCCCGCTCTGCCCTCGGGGCCCGTTTCTCCTTCACGGCGTTTCGCCAGAGGGCTCTTTATGCCGGCCACGCCACCAAAAAAAAAGACTGCAGGGGAGTCGCGCGGGAGGGACGGAGAGCCCGAGGCCGCCCGGTGAGACCGCACGGCCCGGGGGCGGTCCGGCAGCTGTGCCGCCGGAGGTCTCTTCGGAGTCTCTCCGGGCGTTGCCAGGAGTGCCCCACCAGGGTGCCCCCCCGGGGTTCTCTCGGGGGAGCCCAGACGGCCTCCAGAGCACCCCTCCACGAGGCCCGGAGGGCCCCCCAGGGGGCATCCAAAGCTGGGGGGCATCTTGGGCCAGGGGTGCTTCTGGCAACCCGCGATATCTACGCAGGAATCGTGCTCTTGCCTGACTGCCGTCTACATTTTCGGAAGACCACGATACTTCTTCCAAAAGACACGGATGTGCACATGCCCGTGCTCTCGCCCCCTGGCTGTATCTTGCCTCGGAATCCTTGGGGATACCTCGAAGTGCACGTTTTCACGAGCCGACCTCCTACTACTCGACTCGCCTGCCCACCTTTTCTGCTACCAGGGGTGCTCTGCTGGGGCTTGTTCTCTTGCGCAGCTGTGTTCCTTTACTTTCGCCGTCGCTCGTCATCGTCCACCTCCTTGGCCATCCAGGCCCCTCTGACCCCGGGTCCCGCACACTGGCCCCGAAATGCCCGAAGAGACCCTGAGATACAGTCAACCCGCATGGTAAGGACGGGCAACCTTCCCAAGGGTACCCTTGCATCCTTCCCTCGGTCCATCCTTGGCCACTTTCGTTGGCCGCGCCCCGCTCGAAAAGCTTCGAGATGTGCGTCCAAGGCCCTGGCATCCTCATCGCTCATCTTTCTGATACGGGCCGGCTTCTAGCACCAGGACGACCCCCAAATGCTCCCCCTCCTCGCCACCCTCCCTCGTGCAGGAGCCAGGGCATGCGTGCCACCTGTTTTGCCCCCCCCCTTGGCGCCACGGAGGTGCGCATCCACCGGCCGCTGCGGGCCCAGAGGCTCCAGCGGGAGGCGGCGGCGAGGCAGCCGGGCGAGCTCCCGAAGCCGCAGCCTGCGACCCTGCTCCGCCTGCAGGCCTCAGTATTGCTTGACCGAAGAAGAAAAAAACGCCATAAATTAAACATAAACTTTTGGCGCTACGCGCGGATCTCTTGGATTCGCGCTGGGCCCCCCCCGGCGGCGCCTCTGGCGGCGCCCCTGGCGCGCTCCGCGCGACAGGGAGGGGGGTCCAGCGCAGATCCAAGACATCCGCGCGGAGCGCCAACAGTTTATGTTGATGTTTTTTCCTTTTTCTATTTGACACATCCCCATCCCCATCGGGCCATGGTATCTGAGCCCTACCATCTCGCCACCCCAGTTGGGGATATGCGCTTCGACAGCCGAAGGGGGACAGCCTGTTTCCCCATCTAGGGGTGTAAATCGGCCAGTGGGGCCCAGGCCATGCCAGTGGGGGTGGGGCCGCCGCGCAGTGGGCCGCGGTGGCGTCGTCGGCGTCGTCGTCGCCGGCGTTGTAAGCCGCAGTCCGCGACGGAGGGGGCGGGGAGGGGGAGACGGAGGGGGTGGGGGGAAGGCAGGACGAGGGAGGTTGAGGGAGGAGAGAGGAAGAGGATAAGGATGAGGAGGAGGAGGAGGAGGACGAGGAGGAGGAGGAGGAGGAGGAGGAGGAGGCGGAGGAGGAGGAGGAGGAGGAGGAGGAGGGGGAGGAGGAGGAGGAGGAGGAGGAGGAGGAGGCGACGCTGCTCCGCCCCGTCAGGCCGCCGCGCAGTGGGCCGGCGAGGCCCTGGGCCCCAGGCAGCTCCACGAGCTGCGGCAGCCGGGCGTGCGCGACGTGCTGGTGGCCGTGGCCACGCTCCTGGGCGGCGTCAGGGCGGTGCTCGCGCAGCCGCTGGACACGACGACGACGACGAGGACGACAGCGACGGCGCCGACGGCGACGGCGGCGACGACGACGACGAGGAGGAGGACGCGGACGAGGGCGAGGACGAGGACGGCGACGACCACGACGATGCCGATGCCGAGGACGAGGACGAGGGCGAAGACGAGGACGAGGACGAGGGCGAGGGCGAGGGCGACGAGGACGAGGACGAGGACGAGGAAGAGGACGAGGTCGAGGATCACGAGTCGGAGGACGACGACGACGCGTCGACTTCGAGGAGGACGACGACGAGGACGGCGACTCCGACGACGACGACGACGAGAACGAGGACGACGAGGACGGCGACGACGACGAGGACGGCGAGCGACAGCCACGACGACGACGTCGACGAGGACGAGGACGACGACTACAAGGACGTCGACCTCGGCGGCGAGGACGGCGACTCCGCCGACGACGTCGAGGAGGGCGTCGACGACGTCGACGAGGACGTCGACCACGGCCACGACGATGGCGTCGACGAGGACGACCACTGTTCGGCTGCGAAATCCGAGCTTTACCCTCGCTATTCAACGAGTCAGGCAATCCGACGGGCGGCGGGGGTAGGATTCGGAGTTCGTCGAAAACGTGGCGAAGTCCGAACCCCACCCGGCCCCCCATTGATTCGGGAGAATGGATGGTTGGTGGCGGTAGAGTTCGGATGTCGCCGCGTAATCGTTGAACCGATCCCCATCCTCGCCGGAAAAGGAGGACCCCCCTGTCCGCGCTCAGGGGGGGAACAGCTCGCTCGCAGGCGTCGAGAGGTGTGTTGCTCACCCTTCGCGCACGTGTGCCCACCAGCCCATTGCAAAACCCTGCCCATGAGAGCTGACGGGAAAAGGGACGAGGCACTCAGGGTGAATAGCAAGATCTCGGAGAGAAAGGGGGTGTCCTTGGAGGGCCTCTTCGGGCCATCTCTGGGGCTCGCGTGGGAGCGAGGGGAGGGGGAGGAGGAGGAGGAGGAGGAGGAGGAGGAGGAGGAGGAGGAGGAGGAGGAGGAGGAGGAGGAGGAGGAGGAGGAGGAGGAGGAGGAGGAGGAGGAGGAGGAGGAGGAGGAGGAGGAGGAGGAGGAGGAGGACAACGAGGAGTAGGACAGCGTCCTCAAAATCGCCGGGACCTGCGGTTCTCTTAGCCCCTTGGGGGTCCCTTGGGAGCCCTGGAGGGGGCCGTGTGCGCAGTCGCCGGCGCCGCCGTTCAAGGCGGCGGCGCGCCCGACCTGTGACTGGTTTTCTGTCAGCAGCCAGGGCAGGAGGCATCCTGCTGCTTTTTAGCTAGTGCTAAATAATAGAGCATGTCCCTCTGCAGGAGGAAAATTCCAAAATAGTAAAAAAACATAGTGTGGGGACGATTTTTGGATTATTTCGGATTATTTATGTTTTTTTTCCGTTCAAGATTCGCCTGTAGGGGGACATGCCCGACCTAAAGCCAGGACAGAGGCATTCTGCTGCTTCTCAGCTAGGGTGGAGCCCTGGAGGCCTCTTGGGGCCATCGTGGAGGCCATCGATCACAGGGGGCGGTGTCCCGAATGTTCCTCGTTCCCCCCTGGGGCCATCGAAATCGCCTCTTGGGGCGCTTCTGGGACGCTCTTGGGGCGCTCTTGGGCGCTCTTGGGGCCGTCTGGGGGGCCTCTTGGGCCTTTCTTGGGGCTCTCTTGGGCTATCTTGAGGCCATCTGGAGGCCCCCAAAGCGTATCGGAAGCGAGAAGGCGATAATGCAACCATCATTATTTCCCAACTCTCCGTTCTTGGGTTCTCGTTTTGAACAGAGCACTGTTGTCGCGTCTCATTTCTCCTTCCCGCCTCCCTCCTCCTGCTTGCTGTTGTCGCCGTCCTCCCGTTTGCCTCCTCCTCTTTCCCTTTCTCCTCTTCTCTTCTGCCTGTTACCTGGCTTGTGCCTGTCTGCCTACCTGCCTGTTGGGGGGCTGCGATCTGTGAAACTGTCCCCACTTTCGAGGTCTGCTGGGATGTCCAGCGAAGTGAGGCCCACGCAGACCTAAATTAGACCTCGCCATCCCTCGGGGGCTGCGATCTGCGGAACTGTCGCCACTGTCTACTGCTGCTGGGGGATCCAGCGGAGTGAGGCCTCACACAGACCTAAATTAGACCTCGCCATTTCTGGGGGGGCTGCGATCTGTGAAACTGTCGCTGCTTTCGAGGGCTGCTGGGGGGATGGGGTGAGGCAGCATAGCGGGACCCTACGCAGATTCAGCTTAGACCTCGCCATTCCTAGGGGGACTGCGATGTGCGAAACTATCGCCACCTTCGAGGGCTGCTGGGGGGGGGGGGCAGCACAGTGGGGCCCTAGACCTTGCCATCCCTGGGGGGCTGCGAATGGGCTTCTGATGGGTCTCTAAGAGGCTTTTGAGGGCGTCGTAAGGGGGCTTCCTGGCAGTCTTGGGCGCCATCTTTCGGGAAAGGGCTCGAAATCTCAGATCGGATTCCTCCTCTTTGGAACACTCTTGGTGGCTCTGAATCCTTTTTGGGAGGCCTCTTGGGCCGTCTTCGGGTCCTCGTGGGCCCTCTTGGGGCCGTCGTGGGAGCTTCTTGGGCTGACTTGAGGCGATCTTTGGGGCTTCTTGGGCCGTCTCGGGCGGTCGGAGGATTGAAGAGGCGGCAACGCCAAAATTCTTCAAAAACCTAACCACTGTACTGGGCCATTGTGGAGCTATGTTGAAGCATCTTGAGATTGTCTTCGGGCCATATCGGGGCCTGCTGCCCACTGACCTCGACTGGGGTGCCCTCGTGGAGCACCCCTGGGGTGCTCTTGGTGCGCTCTGGGGGGCCCTTAAACGATCGACCCCAGGAGTTCCAGCATCCGTGCGGGAACCTGCCCCGGACCTCCCGGGGACCGCCCAGGGTACTTCTTCGCCCGGGGACCTCCATTGGTCGCCCCGCGCGCGCGAACTGAAAACATCGAAGCCTCTCACTAAAGATGTTGGCACGCCGCTGGCCTGTTGGGCCGGCGAATTTCTTATTCTTGGTAAAACTTTTTTGTTTTTGCAAAATCCTTGGCCTCGTATCTCAGCCCCGCTGGCCCACCCCGCGAGGTGGGGGCGGGCGCCGCGGAGCCCGACGGGAGAGCCGCTCATCTGCTCCCACCCAGGCCGGCAAGTCCGTCCGTGGGGCCAAGGCCATGCCAGTGGGGATGTGGCCGCCGCGCAGTGGGCCGCGGCGTCGTTCTCGTCGTCGTCGTCGTCGTCGTCGTCGTCGTCGTCGTCGTCGTCGTCGTGGTCGTCGTCGTGGTCGTGGTCGTGGTCGTCGTCGTCGTCGTCGTCGTCGTCGTCGTCGTCGTCGTCGTCGTCGTCGTCGTCGGGCGTCGGGGTCGGGTTAAACAGTGCTTAGGACACCCTGCCGGGGCGCCTGTGGGGCTTCCGGCCCGAGGCGGTGACGCCCGAGCAGTTCGAGCGGCTGTGCGGCCTGCTCCGCAGGCCCGCCCTGCAGGAGGGCGCGCACCCGCCCTGCCCGAGGACCGGCAGGGTGCGGGGCGCGGCGCCCCTGGCGGAGTGGTGCTGGGCTGCCGCAGAGCACCTGCGGCGCGAGCACTTCCCCGAGCCCGAGCCCGAGGTCAGTACCGTTGAACCGGCCCCTGCCTCGGAGGAGCAAAAGGGTGCCCATGCCGCTGCCCTGCCCCCGTTCTCCCATTTTTGGGCCTCCTGGGCGGCCCTCGTCGCCACCGCTGGATGCGCCTCGAGATTTGGGTCAGGACGTACCCGGGAGAGGTCCGTAGAGTAGCGGTATAGGTACTTTTGGGCTTCCCCACTACCCACATCCCCATCCCCATCCAGACCGCCACCATCTCAGCACCCCGGTTGGGGACATATCGACTACACGTGAGAGTGACCTTTCGCCAGAGTGACCCTTTGGTGCGGACCCGATGGGGTCCCCCGATCGCCGAGCGCTATGCGGTAGTAGCGTTTTGCGCGCTTGTGATTGGTCCCCCCGCGGCCCCAAAAAGCCGCGCACCAAAGGTCACTCTTACCCAGGGCCACGCTTGCGTGTAGTCGAACATGCCGCTCGAAACCCGAAGGAAGCAGCCTGTCCCCATCCTGGGGGGCGAATCGGCCAGCGGGGCCTGGGCCACGCCCACGGGGATGGGGGTCGGTTCAACGGTGCTCACGAGGGGGGCCGTACCTCCCCAGCGCTCGAGTCCGTGTGCTCGCCGCGGAGCTCGAGGGACAAGAAGCGGCACACTGTCAGGACGCTAAGATAAGGACCGCTCTGGGCTCAGGAAGGGCTCGGGTTTGCGGGCCGTTCCTTAGAGATTTACTACGTCGTGGAACCTGTATGTGGCCCAGGCCCGCCGTGAGTAGAAATTCCCCTTCGTTCCTTATCGTGCTCTCCTAATGGTAGCACGATGGCTGTAAACATAAACTTTCGGAGTTCCGCGGGGATCTCTTGGACCGGCGCTGGCCCCCCAACCCTTGGCGCCGCCTCCAGCGCCGCCCCTGGCGCCGCCCATGGCGCGCTCCGCGCGCCAGGGAGGGGGGCCCAGCGCCGATCCAAGAAATCCGCGCAGGACTCCGAGAGTATACGTGTCGGCCGTTTTTGGTTCCTCCTCCTCCTCCTGCTCCTCCTCCTCCTCCTCCTCCTCCTCCTCCTCCTCCTCGTCTTCCTCTCTCCTCCCCCTCCCCCAGAGGAGCACCGTGCTGGTTCGCCCTCGCCCTGCGCAGCTGCAGCTGCTCTCGATGGATGGCAGGCCCGTGTCCGCCAGGCCTTCGCGGCGAGCCCCCGGGGGAAGTCCAGGAGGGCGGGCCCTCGCAGAAGGCTCGGAAGGCTCTGGGCCTCCCGAGAAGTTTCGAAGCCTTCCCTCGGGGGTGGACAGAACCCCCACTTTTAGGGTTTCTCCGAAGGGCTTAGGCGACCCGTCCTCCTCCTCCTCCTCCTCCTCCTCCTCCTCCTCCTCCTCCTCCTCCTCCTCCATCTCCTCCCCCATCTCCTCCTCCCCCTCCCCCTCTCCTCCTCCTCCTCCTCCTCCTCCTCCTCCTCCTCCTCCTCCTCCTCCTGTCCTCTCCTCCTCCCTTCCTCCTCCTCTCCTCCTCCTCCTCCATCTCCTCCATCTCCTCCATCTCCTCCTCCCCCTCCCCCTCCTCCTCCACCTCCTCCCCCTCCTCCTCCTCCGCCTCCTTCTTCTCCTCCTTCTCCTCCTTGGGTCGCCTACGACCCCGGGGGAAACCGTGCACCCCCACCCTGACACGTGGATTAGTGAATTGTCCGTTTTCGGTTCTCGAGAGGGCGCCGCGATCCTCATTTTTCAGGCTTGCGCCCGCCAGGCTTGGGCCCGAGGTCGTTCTCACTCCAAGCCACGTCTTGCCAGAGGGGGTTCTGCCCATCGATTCCCCGAGGACGCGGGAGACTTCTCGGAAGGCGGCGGGGCTTCTCTTGAGAGAGAGGGCCCGCCCCCTCTCGCCGCCCCTGGGGGCTCAGCGCCTGCAGGTCGGTCGTGGGCCGTGGCCGCCTGACGATACAGACCGGCCCGGAGGTCAGCGAGCGGCGGAGCTCGGGGGCCGAGCCCCGGGGGCCGAGCCCCGCCTACACCGACAGGCTCATCGGGTGGCAACTCGTGGCAGCTTCGTGCGTCCTCAGGATTCCGTCTTCGGTTCGAGGAGCGAGCAACTGCATAGACATGAACTGTCGACGGTCCGCGCGGGCTGTCGAAAGTTTAGGCTTATGCCGTTTCTTCTTCCTCTGAGGACCACCCCGCCCCCCGTATTTGGCGTCGATTGTGCGAATCCTGGGCGTTTGCCGAGCAGCCCTGCGCTGTGCGATTCCTTTTTCAGGGTGCGTTTGCGAAAGGGCCTCGCTTGTCGGGGTGCTTCTCGTGAGGGTGGTTCCTCTGCCCTCTGTTGTGTGTTCTTGAAAATACGTCTTTAGAGTGTGTCAGTGTGCGCTTTAGCTTTTGGTGCTCGGTGAGAAGGTGTCGATTTAGCGTCGATTATCACCACCCACCAAGCCACCCCAACCCAACCCGAAGGCCCAAATGTATCCTCGATTTCCTGTGGGGGGGGGTCGGGGAACATTGAAACAGCACGTGGAACCCGAACCCCCCCAACCCGAAATTCGGTTCAAATTCTGGTCTTCGGGTTGGGTTGGGATGGTCTGGTAGGTAGTCAGATTAGTGTTGACTCAGTGTCGATTAGCGTCGACTGGCGTCGATTCGCAAGAGCCAGCAAGATGACGTGAGAGGATCCCGTGAGTTGCCACCGAAGGCTCGACTCGGATCTGGAAATGTATGTGCCGATCTCGTTAAAGGGCTCCGGCAAGATCAGGCCTTCACCGCTGGCGTCGGACCTCCCTGCTGGGACGCGGGACCTCAAAGGTGTCAGCTTGGAGGGGGCAGAGATGGAGGACGCGGACCTCGGAATGATGAAGCTCGACGGGGCCCGCGCGTGCAATGCCAAATTGGACAGGGCCAAGATGCGAGGCGTCGTCGTTGTGACTGGCGCGGACTTCGAGGGAGCGTCCATGAAGGACACGCAGCTGCGGCATTCAGATTTCAGGGGCTGCAACTTCAAGGGCACCGCGATGAGCAACGCGGATCTCTCAGAGGCAAAGGCCACGGGTGGCTCCTTTGAGAGTGCAGTGATGGACGGTGCGAGCCTGGTGAACGGAGAGTTCACTGGCGTTAGCTTTCGCGGTGCTTTCCTGCTGAATGCTGCGCTCTTCGCGGCCAAGTTCACCGACTGCGACTTCCGGGACGCGGATCTACGCAGCGCCCGTTGCGAGGGGGCCAGGTTCAGCAACTGCACCTTCCCCTCGGCCGTCCTGGACGGTGCCTCGCTTCTGAAGGTGGTATTTACAGCTTGCGAGATGGTCCGCTGCTCGCTGCAGAACGTGAATCTGAATGCCTCAACCATCGATGACACGGACCTGACTGGGTGCAGGCTCAATTCCGCGACGCTGAAGGCTGCCCAGCTGAACAGGGTGAACCTGAAGGAGGCCTCGATGGTCAAGGTGACGGCCCTGGAGGCGGTCGTCCGCTGCTCCAGCCTGGATCGCGCCGACCTCAGGAGTGTGGACCTTACTGGCAGTCACCTGCGTGAGTGCACGCTGGATGGTGCTAACCTGACCTCCGCGGTGCTCGTGAAGCCGCTCAAGTGGCAGAGCAACACGATGGTCAGGGTGCAGATGCAGGGGGCGAACGCCGAGGGCGCGCAGCTGTACAAGTGCGACTTCAGTGGCGCTAACCTTACTGAGGCAAAGCTGAGTGGTGCACGCCTGGTGGACTCGAAGCTGGAAAAGGCAGACCTGGGGCTAGCGACAGCTATTCGTACCGACTTCTCGGGGTGCAAGTGCGCCGAGGCAAAGATGGAAGGGATCAGTGCAGAGGGTGCAGACTGGGTGGACGCCGATCTCAGCAGCATCAACGGTACGGCAGGCATTTTCAGCGACGGGAATTTCTTGAACGCCAAGCTGTTGAACGCTCAACTTGGTGGCGCGAAGATGCGCGTGGCGAACTTTAACAACGCCGACCTGACGGGTGTGATGGCCGAGAACGCCGACCTGACCGAATGCGGCATGCGGAAAGCACGAATAACACGCATCTCGCTCAAGGGTGCGCTGCTGGATAAGGCGAACCTCCGCGGGGCCCACGGACAGGACGCCTGCCTGTCAGGTGTGCGCATCGCAGGCGCCGACCTGGGGGACGTGGACCTCCCCGGGCTCGACCTGCGGGACGCGAAGGCGCCGCAGATGATGGCGCTGGGTGCGCAGCTGAGGGGCGCAGACCTCCGCGGCAGCCTGCTGCTGGACCTCAGCGCCGGCCACGCCAGCCTCGAGGGTGCGGAGCTCTCCGGCACGGTCCTCAAGGACGCCCGCCTGGGAGATGTGGACTTCACCAGGGCCGTGCTGAAGGGAGCGGTGCTGATGGGCGCCGTGCTTGTCGGGGCGAAGCTGAGTCGGGCCAACTTCACGGAAGCGAGCCTGCAGAACGCGGACCTCACGAAGGCGTCTGGCACCGACGTCGTCTTTGCCCGCGCGCACCTGCAAGACGCCAAGATGCATGCGGTCCGTCTCCCCGGCGCGGACTTCGTTGGGGCAACCCTGCAGAACACCATGCTGCACAGGGCCCACCTGGACAACGCCACCTTCGAGAGAGCGAAGCTCTTCCAGGCCGAGCTTGACCATGCGAAGGGCCTGTCGGTCCGCTTCTTGGAGGCCAGCCTCTGGCGTGCGTCGCTCAAGAAGGCAGACTTCAAGGAGGCGGATCTCAGGAAGGCCGACCTCACGCAGGCGGAGGCCTCCCATGCCATCTTCGACCGCGCCCTCGCCGTGAGCTCGTGCCTTTCGGGGGCCGACCTTACCGGTTGCTCGATGAGAGCGTGTGATCTTTCGGACGCGGTCTTAGCAAAGGCCCACCTCAAGGATGCGGACCTCACGGAGGTGCTGCTGAACGGGGCGGACCTCTCGGGCGCGGTGCTGGCCAACTGCAAGATGGCCAGGGCCGACGTTCGCCGCTGCAGGGTGGACCTGGCCGAGCTCAGGAAGGCGTGCGAGAACCTCAAGGATGCCCTGATGGACGGGGAGACGCCCCTGATGTGAGCTGGCCCGCGCTGTGCGTAAGTCGGGCATGTCCCTCTACAGGAGGAACGCTCAAACATAGCAAACCAACATAGTCGGGGGACGGTTTTCGACAGTTTTAAACATTTGTTTGCATAGTTTTGTTATTTTCCAACCATCCTGTGGTGTTGGGTCCTCGTTTTGAAGAGACAGCGCCCCGCGTTCCTTCCTCCTCTCCTCCTCCTCCCCCTCCCTCTCCCTTCTCCCGCTCCTCCCACCCCTTACGCCCCTCACGCGTTTCGTGGCCCAATCGGGAGCTCCACCGAAGGCCCCAGTGGCAGGGTTCGCATGCGGTTCTACCCTCCATTTCGGCACACCCCTCACACGTTTCGTGGCCCCACAAGGAGCTCCGCCGAAGGCTCCAGTGGCAGGGTTCGCATGCGGTTCCACACCCATGTTGGCACCCCCCTCACACGTTTCGTGGCCCCATGGGGAGCTCCACCGAAGGCTTCAGTGACAGGGTTCGTATGCGGTTCCACCCTCCATTTCCGCACACTCATCACACGTTTCGTGGCCCCATCGGGAGCTCCACCGAAGGCCTCAGTGGAAGGGTTCGCATGCGGTTCCACCCCAATTTCGGCACACCCCTCACACGTTTCGTGGTTTCACAGGGAGTTCCGCCGAAGGCCCCGATGGCAGGATTCGCATCCGGTTCCACCCCTACTTCGGCACACCCCTCACACGTTCCGTGGCCCCACAAGGAGCTCCACCGAAGGCCCCAGTGGCAGGGCTTGCATGCGGTTCCACCCTCCATTTCGGCACACCCCTCGCACGTTTCGTGGCCCCACAGGGAGTTCCGCCGAAGGCCCCAGTGGCAGGGCTTGCATGCGGTTCCACCCTCCATTTCGGCACACCCCTCACACGTTTCGTGGCCCCACAGGGAGCTCCGCCGAAGGCCCCAGTGGCAGGGTTCGCATGCGGTTCTACCCCCAATTTCTGCACACTCCTCACACGTTTCGTGGCCCCATAGGGAGCTCCACTGAAGGCCCCAGTGGCAGGGTTCGCATGCGGTTCCACTCACAATTTCTGTACACTCCTCACACGTTTCGTGGCCCCATAGGGAGCTCCACTGAAGGCGCCAGTGGCAGGGTTCGCATGCGGTTCCACACCCAATTTCGTCTCACACCCCTCACACGTTTCGTGGCCCCATCGGGAGCTCCACCGAAGGTCCCGATGGCAGGGTTTGCATGCGGTTCCACTTGTGATTCCGTCATGCCCTCATACGTTTCGTGGCCCCATAGAAGCTCCACCGAAGGCCCCAGTGGCAGGGTTCGCGTACGGTTCCACCCTCCATTTCGGCACACCCCTCGCACGTTTCGTGGCCCCACAGGGAGTTCCGCCGAAGGCCCCGATGGCAGGATTCGCATGCGGTTCCACCCCTGCTTCGGCACATCCCTCGCACGTTCCGTGGCCCCACAGGGAGCTCCGCCGAAGGCCCCAGTGACAGGGTTCGCATGCGGTTCCACCCTCCATTTCGGCACACCCCTTACACGGCGGCGCGCGGCTGTACCATTTGCGCTCTCGACCAAAAGTATCCCCACCAGCGCGAGAAGGGCGGGCAGCGGATGCCGGCCGGACCGCTGCTCGGCGAGATGTTGGTGGCGACGCTGGTGGCCAGCCTCCCGTGCGAGAAGGGCGGCCAGTAGCAGCGGGCCCACGCACTGCTCAGCAAGGGCGCGCGCGAGGAGGGCGAACCGAGGAGCAGCACCGCAGTCGCTCCGGGCGGCGACGCAGCCGCAGCCGCTCCGGGCGGCGGCGCAGCCGCTCGGCGCGCGGGCGCGAGGAGAGGCGGGCCCAGGCCAGCGTGGGGCGGACTTCGGGGCCAGCGGGAGCGTCAGAGTCGGAGGGAGGGGGGGACAGACAAAAGAAAGAAAGAAACAAGAAGTGACTCGCGCACGCCGCGCCGCGGGCACCTGGCCGGAGGTAATCTCGGCCTTCAGCTGCCTTCTGCGCCGTCCCTCCTCCGTCCCTGGCGCTCGGTGGTATCCATGCTGGCTTCTTTGAGCCTGGTGACGCACCCTGGCGTCCATGTGACTCGCACGTCGACCAGCTCCGGCTAGAATGCTTGCGTGTTCCTGGCCTCTGGTCCTCAGACACCGCCACAGCCTGGCCGTGTTTGCAGCTGCCGCCTGCACGGAGGGACGCGCCCCTACGTGGATTGCTCAGGAGTGGTTTAGCCTTCTTGTTCAGCCATGTGAGGTTGTCACTGCTTGCATGCAGCACTGGTACGCTGGACTGCTTGCGCAGCCCCGCGCTTTGCCACGCTCGGTGGCACGACTACCTCTGGCGCCTGGCACAACAGGGTACAATTCGTTCGTCTTCCTGGTGGTCTCGCCTCTGGGATGGCTGCACTTCGGCCGCCTGGCTTACCTGGCAGCTCCTGCAGCCTGCCTTCAGCCCCCCAGCGCCGCTCAGCGTCCCTCGGCGGCAGCTTTGGCAGCCGTGAGTGCGCTCGCTGGTTCATTAGGTTCCGCCCGTAGCCCGGGTCGACCCTTGACGCCGCCTGCGCCTTCGCTTGCGGCTGCGACCAAAAAGTATCCCCACCAACCCATCCAGAAACGATGCCCATGAGAGTTGACAGGGGAGAGAGAGGAAGAGACACGCATAGTCAAACAGCGAGGGAGGCTTGGGAGGCTCCGTGGCCATTCCGAGCCGTCTGGGAGCGGTCTTGGGGCCGGTCGGAGCATCTTGGGAGCCATCTTGAGCCAGCTTGGGCGACCTGAGCCATCTTGGAGGTCATCTTGGGCTCTCTGAGGCCGCTCGGGGGCCTCATGGGTGCCTCTCGGGTGCCTCTTGAAGCCCTCTTGGGGCCTCTTGGGAGCCTCCTGGGAGCCCTGGAGGGCCTCTTGGGGCCATCTTGGAGGGGGTCGGTCAAAAGAGGGGGGGGTACTAGATTTACGTCTCCCCCTCGGGGGCCACGATCCTCGTGAGGAGTGGCAAGGGGCCGAAAACGGAGCCGCCGACACATCGCGACCCCTCCAACAAAAATCCCAGGGAGGGGAGGGGGAGGGTTCCCCTCCCCGAAGGGAAGAGGGGTTGTGGAAGAGGAAAGAGACCCTCCTTAGACCACCTGTCGTCCAAATGGCTGGTGGGACTTCACCTAATTCCCCAGTGGCAGGGTTCGCACGCCACCTCAATTTCAGCACAACGCTCGTACGCTTCTTGGCCTCATAGGGAGCTCCACCGAAGGCCCCATTGGCAGGGTTCGCATGCGGTTCCACCCTCATTCCGGTACACCCCCCACATGTCGCGTGGCCGTATAGGGAGCTCCCCTGAAGGCTTCAATTGCAGGATTCGCATGCCGTTCCACCCTCCATTTCGGCACACCCCTCGCTGCGGCACCCACAACTGAACATGGTTGGGTCCTTCGCCAGGCTAGTGTTTGTTTTTCGTCCAGAACCCGCCTGTAGCAGGACATGCCCGACCGAACGCTGTGCGTGCGACCTGTGGGCGCCGCAGCCGTGGCGCTGGTCCAAAAGGCACCAGCCCTCCCGTCTTGGGCGGCAGGTGCGGGAGGGCCAGCTGGCGGGTGGGGAGGGGGCGACGGTGGGGCGGAGGGCGGGAGGAGGGGAGGGGTGTGAGAGGGAGGAGGCCAGTGCCCTTCCGCGGAGGCCCCTGTGTGCTTAGGCCTCCACCGCCTGCTGGTCTCCCGCTCTCCTCTCCCATGTGCTCCCCCCCAGTCTATCTGGCTCCTCTCCGTTCCCTCTTGCCCCTTCCTCTCCTCGTGCCCCGTCTTCTTGTCCCTCTTGCTTGTGCTCCCGGTACTGCTCCTGTTGCTGCCACCGCTGCTGTCGTTAGAATCGAGCCCTCCCAGCTCCCAGATGGGGTCCGAGTAGATAGGGTCGGAGGATCGCGATGCATCGCCGATACATCGGCGATGTGGCTCGATTTGGAACCTGATTTTATCCACGCCAACGGCGCCAATGCATCGTCCATGTCGGCGATGCATCGGCGGTGCGGTGCAATCCTCCGACCCCATCTGCTCGGACCCTATCTAGGAGGCCTCTATTAGTGCTGCTGCCCTCCTGCTCTCCCACACACGTGGCTACTTTGTCCAATTCCGTCCTGGCTTGGTCGGTGGCTTGCTGCGGATTTCCTGCTTCCGCGCATGCTGGCCCGCGTCTTCTGAACGCCCGGCGCAACGCGAATTCCTGGATGCCGTCGTCGGCCAGCCCAGTGCAGAGTGCCAGCTGGAATTTGGCACGAGGGCCCCGGAGTCCATCGGGTCAGAAGGTGGCCAGAAGGCCCTCTGGTGCCAGTGCCTGGCCTGAGCACGCTGGCGCATCAGTCTGGCGCGGATCACGCGGGGGCCCCCGATGAGCCAAGACGCCCTGGCACGCCGGTTGCCGTTCCTTGCCCAGGGCGCTTCAGGTGGCGCCTGCCCTTTAGCTCGCTGACAGAGACATGCCTGGTTAGCGAAGGATGGTGAGCAGCTTCGGGCCTCCTGCGCAAGAGGATGCAGGTGCCGTCGGCATCCAAGGTGAGCGCTGATCGGGGAGGAACGCGACACACGCCAGTGCTGTTGTGCGAGGGCCTGGCCGGGACGGGGCATTGCAAATCGATCGGGGATTTGAGGGAGGCCCTCAGAGGATCGGAGACGATGAGATTGCCCGAGCAGAGGCTGGATGGAGATTCGCAAGGAGAGGCCTGCGGGCATCGACGTTTGCGGTGCACGACATTCGTCAGGGCAGCCCGCGCAGGATGCTCCCATCTGATTCGGTTGCTGGTCAGAAGCACGATTTATTAATGAGTCTTATTATCATCTTCAGACTTTCAGCTCGCAGCGTGGGGATGACATCCCAACGTCCCGTCACTTGCTTGAAACCGTGTAAGATTTTGTAAATCAGCTGTTGAGTTCATCATGCGAGTCTCTGCTGTCGGTGGACAGTGGGCGCCTTCGATCAGCTACAGAAACATCGACGCCGTTATGGTGGACGCGAAAGAGATCCCCCAGCTTGCCGACTATCGTGCCATCTGTCGGCGGCGACGCATGGACTCATGTCAGTCTCATAACTCTGTGGCTCCTCCCTTGCGAGTAGGGTAATCGCTAGCCTACTAAGCGACGTGGCGAGAGTAACGTGCCGCTTCCTCTCTCGGGGCTGGAATCACTTGAGGTAGCTTCTTTGCCCAAGGCGCCGCCCCAGGGGGAGGAACACTTCCTGGACGTCATAGCCTGCCGCCTCATTCGCGCAGAAATTGCTTGACGTCGGGGTGTGGGCCACACGAGTGAGGTCACAGCGGGCTGGCTCACTTGGTGCCAGGTGGGGCCAGGGGCCTTCACGGATGCCGTGTTTCCATGAGGCTGCCCCAGGGAGATTCCACGACGTTCCGCCGACTTCTCATGGGGATCCAGGGGCCTTGAAAGCGCGCTTCCACTGGGCCGCGGATCGCTTCATTCGTGTCACACTTCGGAATACTCTGAAATACTTCATTTCTCATTCGTGCCACTGCAAATCCCCACGTGTTCGACCACACGTTCGGAAGGATTGTCAAACGATAGCCTCAATGCGCGCCCCGTCCACTGGTGATCCAGAGGCCCGGGTGTCGGTGCAGCTGTGTGAGGGCAATTCTGCGTCTCTCTGTCGGGCACCTGCCGGGCCTCGTGCGCAGACCAGCCCAAGCTGGCCCGGGCGGACCAGGACGGTGCGCAGGCGGCTCCTGCGCACGTCTTTTCCTGTTCTCGCCTGCGTCTGCTTCCGTTGCTGGGATCGGCGCAGGCCTCGTGCTCCGAAAGTCGCTGGCGCGGCAGAAGGGCAGCTTGAGCCAACACCAGCCTTGCCGGTTCGGGTCCGCGGCACCCGAGCGCGGTTCTTGTCTGGAAGGCGGCGTTCTTCTCCTTGGCTCTGGAGGAAGGCGTTCCTCTCTTTGGCCTCGAGCTCTTCTTGCACTTGTTCATGCGATGTACGCTTGCGTTGGTTGTTGTAGCTGTTGGCGACACGGCTCCGTCTAGGCCTGTCGTGTTGTCCCCTGTCAGGATGTCTTTTTGTCGTTCTCTGCACGTCTGTCTGTCTGCCTCCTTCTGCCTGCCCGCCCACCCGTCCTTCCGTCTTCCTGTCTCTCTGCCTGCACTCCCTGGAGGAGGAGGAGGAGGAGGAGGAAGAGGAGGAAGAGGAGGAGGAGGAGGAGGAGGAGGAGGAGGAGGAGGAGGACGAGGAGGAGGAGGAGGAGGAGGAGGAGGAGGAGGAGGAGGAGGAGGAGGAGAGGCTCGACGCCAGCCCACGTCGGCACACGATAAAGGTGCCGCACCCTCCGGGGTCCATTTCGACCCGATCGACCCGATTCGATGTCGGGTTTGACCCGCCCGATCCGATCCGATTCCGATGCTCCGACGATGCGATGCGGCCCGATGCCTGCAGGGCGCTGTTGTGCACCCTGGCCCAGCCGATCCGATTCGATTCTGGCTCCGTGTCGATGCTGCCCGACCCGATCGGCGTCACCCCAACATACTATGTGTGCGTCGCCCCCCCAGGGGCGACGCGCGCATCGACAAATCTTACAGTATATGCGTCGTGGCGGGTGCTTTTTAGCCACATCGCTCGGGAAACGATCTATTATAAGATGGGTGTACTACATGTTCGGGTCGGACGCGCGCCTCCAAGGAGGGCAACTAGTACTAGTATGTCTCTGTGCGTCCCACCCGACGCAGAGCTCGGTTCGATCCGATCTCCCGATCCGTTGCTGGTTGATCCTGCCTTCTGCCGGTCTCTGGCCGCTGGGGCCTCCCCCTGCCGCTGCAGCCCGGGCCGGTCGGCGCGGCGCTCGGCAGCCCACGAGCTGGATGGGCGAGTTTTCCACCACCATTACCATATATGTAAGACGGGAGAGAAGGGAAGATGAGGAGCTCCTGCTCCTCGTCCTCCTCCTCCTCCTCCTCCTCCTCCTCCTCCTCCTCCTCCTCCCCGTCCTCCTCCTCCTCCTCCTCCTCTTTCTTCTCCTCCTCCTCCTCCTCCTCCTCCTCCTCCTCCTCCTCCTCCTCCTCCCCCCCCTCCCCCTCCTCCTCCCCCTCCTCGTCCTTCTCGTCCTCCTCCTCCTCCTCCTCCTCCTCCTCCTCCTCCTCCTCCGTCCGTAGCCATTTGGCTCAAGCACAGGTGGCTCCATGCATCCGTATTTTTGGCTCATCGGCATGTCTGGGGTCACGCCCTGCTCCGCCACGAGGAGCTTGAGGGACACCGGTGCATCAAGAACTTGGGTCTTGCCCTTACCGGTTGACTAAGCGGGGCGAACTCGTTCGATGTTCAATTTGCTTTCCAAAGGAACCACGGTTGCATCAATAGTTTGGTATTCAACAGATGGCGACGCTGGAAAGCCTCGGAGACCATCGGCACGTATTCACCTACCGTGCCGCAGTTGGTCTTCGCAGCGCTTGGGCCAAGCCGGGCTTGCTTTCCAAGGAACCCACAGTTGCAGCAGAAGTCTGGTATTCAACTGATGGCGACGCAGGAAAGCCTCGGAGACCATCGGCACGTTTTCTCTTGCAGTGCTGCACTCGGTCTTCGCAGTGCTCGGGCCACGCCTGGATCAGCGCGTGCGAGAAACGCGGGCAGACGGCCGCAGCGAGTGGTGCCGCTGCGAAGCGGTATGGGAAGGCGAAGCCAACGCCCAACATCATCAGCTACACTGCCTGGGCTACACGTGCGTGGAGGGCGTGCAATGCCTCAACCTTCTGCAGGTCTCTATTCATATACTGGCTTGGAGGGTTGGCGGCGTATTTTCCCTTTTCTTTTTCAATAACGGCGGCCCGTCGGCGCGTTCTCAGCTGCAGTGTCGTTATGGGTCCGCCGTGGCAGTTGGGCGCCTGGACGGGGCAGGGTGTTGATCGGGCCGGCAGGCTGGCCCGCTGGGGCGAGGCGGTCTGTGGGCGAGGCGAGCTCCTTCCTTAACTGCGAGAGTTAGCCCTGTGATCTACGGCTAGGGCCTCATAGAGTCGAACTCATTTCCGCTTAGCCACTGGTGTTGCACGGTCCGTCAACCGCTCAGCATTCGGCACTGTTACACGTTCAATTGCTATATTTTTGCGTTCTCCTATACGGCTCGGCGTGTTTGCAGAGTGAGTGAACATGGTACGCTGTGGAGGTACTCGGGCCGGTATCCTTGTGTTCCGTCCAGCTTTGGTTTCATCGTCGAGTCGGCCTTCAACTCGCAGCACTTGGGGGTCAGGTGAGCGCGGAGTGCTATGTAATTTCGCTACGCGAAGGCTGTAATCCCTGTAATCCCTCCTCCTCCTCCTCCTCCATCCCCGTCCTCCTCCTCCTTCTCCTCCTCCTCCTCCTCCATCCCCGTCCCCCTTCTCCTCCCCCTCCTCGTCCTCCTCCTCCTCCTCCTCCTCCATCCCCTCCTCCTCCTCGTTCTCCTCCTCCTCCTCCTCCTCCTCCTCATCATCATCATCATCATCCGCATCAGCATCAGCATCAGCATCAGCATCAGCATCAGCATCAGCATCAGCATCAGCAACATCATCAGCATCAACATCATCATCATCATCAGCATCATCATCATCATCATCATCATCATCATCATCATCATCATCATCATCATCATCATCATCATCATACTCATCAGCATCAGCATCAGCATCATCACCATCATGATTATCATCATCATCATCAGCATCATCATCATGATCATCATCATCAGCAGCAGCATCATCACTACCACCACCACCATCATCACCATCGTCATCATCATCATCAGCATCATCAGCATCAGCATCAGCATCAGCATCAGCATCAGCATCAGCATCAGCATCAGCACCAGCATCATC